AGTGGTGGAGTTGGCACCAGAAGGAAACTCTTTGGACACCACATCCTGTATTTGTTTCTGTTCCCAAACTGCCTTGTGGTGTGGAGTTTGAGTCATTTACATTTTCTCACCCAAGTTCTCTTTTGACTAACTGCAGGCCTGTTTGAGATGGGCTTACCCAAGTCAGGCATGCACTTTCTGGGCACAGAGGCCAATTGGGCTACATAGCAAGTAGAAGTTAGGGCTGATTGATTGATTGATTGGTATCCCATGTGGGAAGATTTGAAGCAACGAATTTTCTCTAATATAAACTGCTACTTCTTGTGCACTGATGCCAGATGTTGAGCTCATCACACCTTATTTTGCTGATTTCTCATATCATTAGGAGATGCAGGTATAGGTACTAGTTTTGTACTGTCAAGGAAGCGGCTTACCTGACTTCACAGTTTCATAATTAGGAAATGGCAGAAACAGATGTCAGACTCAGGAAGTCTACTCCCAAGCCACTGATTTTAACCACTATCCAGTGATTTCCAAGCCAAGTTTTAAGGGCATTCTAGGCAGGAATAGCCATACCTGTAAATGCTATAGAAACATGAACCAGCAAGGCAAGAGAGGAGTTGCAATGGCTAAAATTGTATAACTTGCCTTCAGTCACATAGCCAGGGTGACAGAGATAGGATTTGAATTCAAGTGTTTGTGACTTGTTGTCATGAGGCCATGCTGCCTGTCAGGGAATGGGTTTGGCCCTCACTCTCTAAGTCTAGATTGATTAGTGTGGTGAAGGCATATAGAGTATTCACCTGGTACTGTGGGGCAAGGCACTCCCAGAAGTCTCATATGGGTCAGTAGCAAATGTTCTCCTCTAGATTACATGTCCTTTTCACAGGATGAGTCTCTTGGGCAATAGGACATTTTCTGATGACAGAGGTGGGCAGTATGGTATAATAGAAAGAACAGAGTCTCCAAGTTTAAATTCTGGCTCTGCAATCTTCTGGCTGTGTGACAAGTGCAAGTTCCTTAACCTCTCTTTGCCTGTCGCTCACCGTTTCCCTCCCCAATTATCCACTTGTGTGTGTGTGATTTTTTTCTTTGAGACAGTCTCACTCTGTCGCCCAGGCTGGAGTGCAGTAGTGCAGTCTCTGCTCACCACAACCTCTGCCTCCCAGGTTCAAGCAGTTATCTTGCCTCAGCCTCCCGGGTACCTGGGACGATAGGCGCCTGCCACCCCTGTTGGCCTCCCAAAGTGTTGGGATTACAGGTGTGAGCCAACATGCCTGGCCCCACTTGATTTTCGTGAAAAACAAGTATTGTTTCTTTTGGAGGGCTTTGTAAGGATTAAATACTATGTGTCAAACACATGGCATATAGTAGATGTTCAATATATGGTAGCACTTTATTAATATTACTTGAAAATATTACTGCTTTTCTTTGTTGGACATTTGTAATAATTATGTGGAGCTCTTGTTTGAGGAACATGTTAAATAGTAAGAAATTGGATTCTAAGGCTGGGCGCGGTGGCTCAAGCCTGTAATCCCAGCACTTTGGGAGGCCGAGGCGGGTGGATCACAAGGTCAAGAGATCGAGACCATCCTGGTCAACATGGTGAAACCCTGTCTCTACTCAAATACAAAAAATTAGCTGGACATGGTGGCACTTGCCTGTAATCCCAGCTACTCGGGAGGCTGAGGCAGGAGGATTGCCTGAACCCAGGAGGTGGAGGTTGTGGTGAACCGAGATCGCGCCATTGCACTCCAGCCTGGGTGACAAGAGCGAAACTCCGTCTCAAAAAAAAAAAAAAAAGAAATTGGATTCTAAAATATAAGTCTGGTATTTCCAAACAGAAAAAAAGAATAATTATCTATTTTAAGGTGAATTTCACTAAATGAGAATGAACATTTTCAGGTTAACTTTTGTGGTATTTAAAAGGTTGTTTCTCTATAAAGGAAACCATAGAAACAAAAATAAAAAGAAATAGAATTAATTGATGTCTATTACTCTACAACTTAAAAAATTATACAGACAAGTGTAAAATCTGTATCCTCCAACTGCAATTCCACCCTCAGGGGCAACCACTATTAATAATATGAATTATATACATACATGTGTGTGTGTGTGTGTGTGTGTGTGTGTGTGTGTGTGTGTATGTGTATACATATGGGAGAATTGGCTCACATGATTACAAATATGAAGTTCCACAATAGGTCATCTATAAACTGGGGATTGCCAGTAGTGTGCCTCAATTCAAGTTCAAAAACCTTGAAACCAGGGAAGCCCAACAGTTCAATCCTGAGTGAGTCTGAGGATGAAGGCCTGAGAGCCTTGGGCAGGGTGCTAGTGCAAGTCCCAGAGTCCAAAGGAAGATGAACCTGGAGTCTGATATCTAAGGGCAGGAGGAGAAAAGGGACCTCACTGCAAAGGGAGAGAGGGAGGAAGTTAAGCAATCTGAGTATCTCCCTTGTTCCACCTGGTTTGTTCTAATCGTACCCATAACTGATTAGATGGTGTCCACTCACATCAAAGGTGGCTCTTCCTCTCCCAGTCCACTGACTCACATATCAGTCTCCTCTGGAAACACCCTCACAGACACACTCAGAAACAGTGTTTCACTAACCAGCTAGGCATCCCTCAATTCAGTCCAGTTGATACCTAATATTGAACATCACACTGAGTATTTCACTTTTTGATACTATTGTGAATGGGATTTTCTTAATTTTATTTTTAATCTCTTAGTTGCTATTATGTAGAAGTCCAGTTGATATTTATATGTTAGTCTTGCATCCTGTCATCTTACTAAAATTGCTTATTAGTTCATGTTTTTAGTTTTGAGATTCTTTAGGATTTTCTGCATATGAGATCATGTCATCTGCAAAGAAAGACACTTTAACTTCTTTTCTAATCTGTATACTTTTAATTTACTTTTTCTAGCAATGGCTAGAAGCCCAAGTATAAGTTTGAGTAGAAGTGGTGAAAGTGAACATTCTTGCTTTATTTCTGATGGGGGAAAGCATTCATGTTACCATTAAGTATGATGTTAACTGTAGTATTTTGTAGATGCTCCTTTTCAGGTTGTAAAAGCTCTTTTCTATTTCTGGTTTATTGAGTATTATATTTGGAGCATTCAGTTCTTTTTCTGCATCTGTTGAAATGATCATTTGGTGTTTGTACTTTGGTCTGTTAACACGCATATTACATTAATTAATTAATGTATATTAAACAACTCTTGCATTCCTGGGATGACTCCACATAGTCACTATATATAAAGGCAAGTTTTATATGCTGCCAGATTCGGTTTGTTAATATTTTGTTAAGGATTTTTACTGTGTTCATGATGAATATTAGTCTGTAGTTTCCTTTTCTTATGTCTTTGCTTGGCTTTGGTCAGGGTAATACTGGCTATGTAACATTTGTTGGAAAGTTTTTCCTTCTTCAATGTATTTTAAACAAGTTTGTGTAGGATTGGTACTGTGTCTTCCTTAAATGTTTGATAAAATTCCCCAGTGAAGCATTTGGACCTGTAGTTTTTTTTTTTTTAATGGGAATGTTTTAAGCAAAAATTGGATTTTTTTTTTAAAAGATGCTTCTCAATTTTTTACATGGCTTTGGTCAATTTCCATAAACCCAAAATGGTGGTTTTTGATGATTTTGTCCAGTTTGATAGTTTTATTTTGCTAAGAGGATTTTTGACTTCTTCGTAGTACCATACCCAGAAGTTGCCTCTCTACCTCTTTAAAAAAAAATTCTGTATAGCATTTCATTTTATAGATGTGCCATAATTTATTTAATAAAAAATAGTTGTTGCACTTTTAAAATATATTCTGAGCAGTGCTGGAGCTAGCCTTCTTCTATATCTAACTCTACTTGCTTGTGCTAATAAGATACATACATTTTCAATTTTAATAGATGTCAAATTATTCTCCAGAATTTGTTCTCAATAATTACATTGTTAGAATAATCTCCAAGAAGGTCCACTTCTGCATGTATTGCCACTGCTATATATAGGTTAAACAACCCTACTCTGAAAATTCAGAATCTAAAATGCACCATAATTCAAAACTTTTTGAGTGGCATTGGGACACTACACATGGATGGCTAAGCCAGTAACATTTTTGTTTTCTGATTGTTCATTGTACACAAACTTTGTTTCATCAACAGAATTGTTAAATATATTGTATAAAATTACCTTCAGGCCACATGTGTAAGATATATATGAAACATGAATGAATTTTGTGTTTAGACTTGGGTTTCATCCTCAAGATATCTCATTATGTATATGCAAATATTCTAAAATCTGAAAAATTCTGAAATCTGAAATGCTTTTGATCACAAGCATTTTAGATCAGCAGTAACAGCCTGTACTATTAATCTTTTATATTTTTGCCAATACAAAAAGCAAATAGTTTGGTATCTTTTTGTTTCTACTTATCTAATCGGAGTTGGGATTCTTCTCATATGCTCTTTGACCATTTCTTTTTATTTTATGAAGCGACTTTTTATTCCTTGGCTTAATTTCCAATTTTTAAATTTAAATTTAAATTTTATTTTATTTTTGAGACAGAGTTTCACTCTCGTCACCTAGGCTGGAGTGCAAGGGCGTGCTCTCAGCTCACTGCAACCTCAGTCTCTCAGGTTCAAGCAATTCTTCCTCAGCCTCCCAAGTAGCTGGGATTACAGGAGCACACCACCCAGCTAACTTTTGTGTATTTAGTAGAGACAGCATTTTACCATGTTGGCCAGGGTGGTCTTTAACTCCTGACCTCAGGTAATCCAGCCCACCTCAGCCTCCCAAAGTGCTGGGATTGCAGGTATAAGCCTTCATGCCTGGCTTTAATTTCTAATTAGATTGGCTCTTTTTTCTTATTTATAGGATTTCTTGATATTCTAGTGATACTATACTTTTATCTGTTTTATGTTATAAAGATTATTTTCAATTCTATCATTCCTTCCTTCTAGTTGTAACTGTCTTCAATCTTTTAAGACTGTGGTGTTTTACTTCATGTTTTTGTTTGTTTTTAAAACAGAAAGTTGTACAAGGGATTGATTTAAACCAAATTCGAGGACTTGGGTTTGATGCCACGTGTTCTCTGGTTGTTTTGGATAAGCAGTTTCACCCTTTACCGGTCAACCATGAAGGTAAGACTGTGTCTCTTCCTTTTCCCTGTGGTGGGAGACTTGGCTGATTAATCCAATGGACACAAGTGGAACAGGAGGGCAAGCATCTCTTGCTGCTGATAGATTTAGAGGTAGAATGAGGTGACACATATCATGCTGCAGATGTCAAAAGCTTGGAGAGCAGTTGGTATGAGTGAGGTGGTACTGAGGCTGGATTGGGGGGACTTGGCTTTATAAAACTCTAGAGCCACAGTACAGAGCCTGGTCAAGGAAGGACATGAGATTGTTAGCCAGGAGTGAGAAACCGTGAAACACACAGGTGGTTTTGATGTTTTCTGGGAAGAGAGTGTCAGTGCTTGCAGTTTCATTGTATATGAAGCTCCTATTCCATGCTTATTTGAGTGGATGAATCAAGTGCTTTGAAAGGAAATGGAACATGGTAGACAGGGCCATGTGACACTAGAAACTAGAAGCAGATGGCCTCTCTATTTTCAATAACCAGACCAAAAGACATTCACATTGCATGGTGTCGTAATAGAGATTGTGAGTACAGAAATGAGCTGTTTCAAATGTCAAGTGCCACTTGGGTCCATTGTAAGAGATTTTTCACAGCAGATAAAGTTGTCCCTTCTGGGGAATTTTAGCCAGTAAAACTAGTACTAGGATTACAAACCCAAAAGTCTATTAATACATTAATGTAATAATTAATACATTAGTCAGACAGTTAATGTAAATGAGTAATAGGCCAGATTTGAGAAAAACAACTGCACATGTGTGAAGATAAATTTCAACTGATAATTAACCTTGTAATAAGCAGAAGACGTTAGAGAACAGTGGAGCCTGCATTGCATTGGAAATTGCATGCTCCATTTGAAGAGTGGGGCTAGCTCTAGGCATTGCCAGTTAGCTATTGCCAAGATAGACATTGCAAACATATTTTGGGCTAGATTCTGTTTGAGAACCCTTAGTTGTGGACGCTATTGCAGCAGCATCTTTCTTAACTGTTGGCTGTGAGATAGTAGGGTGCATTGGTACCCAGTGGAATTAGAGTTAAGCAGGGACTCTGATTGTAGCTCTGCTGTTGTTTAGCTGTGACACCTTGGGCAAGTCACTTAACTCTGTGTTTCTCAGTTTTCTTCTCTGAAAGAATTTGAATAATGAATCAGTAGCTTTGCTGTGACAATTTAGTGAGAGATTGATACCTAAAATACTCAGAAAAGTTTCTTCCAGCAGATGATGAATTTTTTTAAGTTAAGAGAATGTTCCGGTCACTTCTGTGGACCTAATGTATGAAAGTGATTATTATAATTATAATGACTATAAATGATCATCTATTTGCATCCCTTTTCACTATGAGTGATTACTATAAATAATGATAATCACTATGTGCTGAAAAGGGATGCAAATAGATGAAGGATTAGAGCAGAGTGGTAATGACCGTTTTACACACACACACACACACACACACACACACACACACACTTTCTCTCTCTCTCTCTCTCTCTCTCTCTCTCTCTCTCTCTCTCTCTCTCTCTCTTTCTCTCTTCTTGCCACATGTATTAACACCTTCTGTGTGCCAAGCCCTGTCTTATCAAATGTTGGGTCTTCAAAGATGAATCAGGATGGTTCTTAATCTTTGTGGCCATAAATTGTCTCAGTTGGCACTGTCGTGGCCCAGGACAGGACAGCCTTGCTCTGAGCCTTTTCAGGAAGCAGAAACCAAACATGGGTGGTGAAGAGGCAGACCTCAGCTCTCTAGCAGCAAGCATTCACTAATTACGAGATGTGGCCAGCCATGGACCTGGCCATTTTGGGAGGCTGTCAGCACGTCTTTTGTGGGCTTTATTTAAGTAAAAGTCAGGTGATTGTCTGTTGGGGATGCCATAGATCAGTTGTCTCTTACTACTGATAGTGAGATTTAGAGGCGAAGTAAAGGCCAGAAGTCATGTCTCAGAAATTAAAAGCTTGGAGAGCAATTGGTATGAAGTGGGTGGTGTTGGGGCAGAGTTAGGTGGGGGACTTAATTCCATTAAGAACAAGAGTCATGTTAGAGAGCCTGATTTTAGGTAGGATTTTAGATATTAAGAATCCTGCTTCAAGGATTTTGTATCATCTGATCTGCTAAAGTACATATTTATTTATTTACTCTGGCTGTGTGTTAATATCAACTGGAGATCTTTAAAACATTGCCAATGCATGAGCCCTACCCCCAAGATTTGTATTCAGTTGACTTGAGGTGGAGCTAGAGTGTGGACTTCTCAGTGACCGTAGTATGTAGAGAATCACTGGGCACAGATTAACAGAGAAATAAAATATTAGGAACAGAACATTTGAAGTGGAAGAAGATAGTTACTTGTGAAATTTGCTTAAATATGTACCCCCTTTGGATGCTTTTTTCTTCATTGTAGGTAGAATGGCCTCCTGTTAACAGGTCCTCTATTAAAAAGGTAGCTAGGTTACCACTCTAATTATAAGTGTTGAAATAACTCTATTCTACCTAAAAGGTTAAAGTGTACCCATTCATCAAATGCATCCAGCTGCAGGTGCCCTTCATCAGTTTCTTGCCTTTCAACAGATTGTATTAAGGTTAGATTTTTTATCTGAAATGGATTATCCTGTGAAAGAAAATGAAATTAGAATTATAAAGGTGGTTTGAAGGTTCTTTAGAGAGAGACTTCTTCTACCTGCATGGCAGTGACTGACTATTGATTGGCTAATGGGAGTAATTGTGAGGAGCCCAGAGAGGGATCAGGAAGATTGCAGATAACCCTAATCATGCAGATAACCTAAAACCAAACCCATAAGACCAGCAAAAGTATTGTCATCTTTAGACGTGAATCAAAAAATTACAAACAAATAAATTAAGTACCATAGTTTAAGTAAATACAGTATTGCTGTATGATAAAATAGTCTCCTTGCTTGCCTTTCCTTGTTTGACTCTTTTTCCTTAAAGAAAGATCAGAACAGCCTTGGGTTGGACAGCAGCACAGTTGCTGAATGCCTCCTACCCCTGCCACTGACTAAGCTCAGAGCCTCACCCTGGTTGTGTCATCTCAGCCATAGGAGCTCCTGGGAGGCAGAGGAACAGAGAAGGAGTTATGACCTAGTCTCCTCTGTGCATCAGATAACCTAATGTTTAGATATTTTGCTGATTCATAATAAATTTTCTCCTCATGTATGCCTACAACACATTCTGTGAACATAAACCTGTATTTTAGCAAGATATCAATTAAGTGAATACATGGATGAATAATCTGCCCTTAGGTAAAGTGAGGTAGCTCAAATTTTGCTCTACCTCCAATTCTTTTAACAGACCACATCTTCGTGGGTTTGCATTCTGCTTCCCATGCTGCTGCATCATGTAGAACCTCTTTCTCACTCTTCCTTCACCTGCCTAGCCAGTGGCTGGTCATTTGAAGAATTAAATAAACACTTTCCTGCCTTTTGGAAGCTTTCTTTGCAGCTCCAGGCTCAGCTAACTAGAGCCTTCTCTCTGCTCCTCCTCCATGTTCCCAATTCCCATGTCTGGTACTCTTGTTCTGGCAATCAACACAGAATGTAAACACTTTCTCCATGCAAACATATGCTGCTTAAGGTCAGAACTGCGGCACATTCTTCTTGATATTCTGGCATCCAGCACTGTGCTTGGCATGTAGTAGATGCTCAATAAAAGATTAAATGAACTTTCCATTGATTTACTTGTGTTTTTCTATAAGAACTGAAAAAAAGATTAATTTCTTGGTTTTTATCTAAAATGAAAATTAGAAATTATTCATTCTAATACAGTATTGATTCTGTACAATTTTCATTGTATTCTGACTACATTTTTGAGAGCATCTTTATATAGAGACAGTAGTAGCTGATTGGTCTATCTTTACTACAGGCAGAAGTTTAGCAACAGATATTTTTGCATTGAAGTAGCTGTAGGTGTGTGCTGTACAGTATTTAAGAAACAATTCTGATATTGCCCCCTTCAATATTCACCCACCCACCCACACACACAGGTGTATGAATGTGTACGCACCTGCATCCTGATTCATTGGTGGTTCTGGAATGGGACCTGGACATCAGTTTTTTAGAAGTCCTCAAGGCAACACTAATGTACAGCTAGGTTTGAGAACCAGAGCTTTGAGCAGTTCTGTTATATAGTGGAACCATTCTGTTTACAAAAAATTATTTGACATGCCTGTGGAAGGTCCCATGGACTCTGTACTATTTTTAAAGTTAGTATTACTGTTTGTGGAGCTTCCGTGGGAGGTGAGATCTTTTCAGTTAGGCAAACCAGCAACTGAGCCCCTGCCTTGTTATGCCCATGACCTTATTTAGATATCTTCTTACATTTACATCGGCTTTTTTTTTGTTTAATTTTTAAAATTCTTTTCAAAGATGTAGAAGAGTAAAGAAAGCAGCAGCTTCCTATGTACCTACCGCTGAGGATAAACATGACATTTTGCCATATTTGCCTCACCTCCTTTTATTTAAAAAAAAAAAAAGCGTATTTGTAACTTCACCTTTTCGTTTCCTGCAGGTAGCCATTCTGCTGTGGTTGCTATTCATAAGCATATTGTTTTGGTGCTTTTACTACATATGTATATATACCCACAGCAACAAACAGTATACAGTCATTCCTCTGTATCTGAGGACAACTGGTTCCAGGACCTCCTTCAGAAGAAAACCCACAGATACTCAAATCCCTCATATACAATGGCATCATATTTGTATATAGCCTATATATATCCTGCCATATACTTTAAATCATCTCTAGCTTACTTATAATATCTAATGCTATGTAAATACTTGTTATAGTATTTAGGGAATAATGGCAAGAAAAAAGTCTGTACTTGTTCACATGCAACCATCCATTAAAAAATATATATTTTCAATCCACAGTTGGTTGAATCCACAGATGTAGAACTCACAGACATAGAGGGCTGACTCTGTGTTTTAAGGTATCTCACCTGGTGTCCTTGTTCATTTTGCTATGTCTAACACTAGTTTATTCATTTTACCAATTGATTTATCTATTTTCTGTGCAGCTTTAGTTCCAAAACACACTTCGTGCATTTCCTAGCTTTGAGACATTGGGTTCATCTTCACTTTCAAGAGTCTGTCATTGAAAAACAGGGATTAAAAACCTATATCAGAGGATTGTTTTGGGGATTAAATGAGACGATATATGTAAGATGTTTAGCACAGGGTTTGGGAGACACATAAACACACATTACAAACATTTGCTATTAGCAAGATATGTAGTGCTGTGGTTACTTTGCTGTTAAATAAAATAATATGTTAACTGGCTTGGCAACTGCTGGGTTTCTTTTCTCTTTCCCCTAATAATCTCCCAGGTATATTTATTGCTGTTCTGCACATTTTGCCATCAGAGGCGTCAGAGGGCTGTGAAAGGATTTCTGGCTTGCCCATCAGTACAGGATGAATTAACAGAGGCTGGGGAGAGAGACAAGGAATTACTATGTGGGCTACAGGGTGGTAGAGGCAGGATATGGGGGCAGTGCTCCTTTTCCACTGGTTTTAAATTCTCTTCATTATGCTTTACTCCTCCTGAGGGCCTACTTTCTGAGAAGTACTTGCCATATCCTTTATGTACATTATCTTTTGTATAATAATTTCCTGAATTATATATCTTCTTCTGTAACTTAGAGTATTAGCATTCCCCATTAGTTCTGCCTAATTCCAAAACTCATGAGCTTCCCACTCCAGCAAGCAAGCCAACCAAATGAGGTGGGAAAAAAAACCCCACCTAAATGAACTAATTTTAATTAAACTGACCAGAAAAAGGTGGGTATATAAGCAGTTAAATGCCATTGTGCAGCTATTAGATGTATTATATCATCAAAGTATTTATTCATATTTAAGGGAGACCTTAAAAAGAGAAAGTATTGATTCTCTCTTGTCACCGCCATGGAAGAAATGCCTTTCACCCTCTGCCATGATTCTGAGGCCTCCCCAGCCATATGGAACTACGTGTGCATTACCATTGCGATTTCTGTTCTCATGACTCTGATATGTGCTATGGCTACTTACGGAGCATACAAGCAACATGCAGCCTGGATTATCCCATTCTTCTGTTACCAGATCTTTGATTTTGCCCTGAACACCTTGGTTGCAATCACTGCTTGTTTATTATCCAAACTCCATTCAGGAATACTTATGACAACTGCCTCCTAATTTTCCCTACAGAAATGACGTCATGTCAGTGAATCCTACCTGTTTGGTCCTTATTATTCTTCTGTTTATTAGCATTATCTTCACTTTTAAGGGTTACTTGATTAGCTGTGTTGGGAACTGCTACTGATACATCAATGGCAGGAACTCCTCTGATGTCCTGATGTACATGACCAGCAATGGCGATACGGTGCTGCTACCCCATATGATGATGCCACTGTGAATGTTGCTGCCAAGGAGCCACCGCCACTTTATGTGTCTGCCTGAGTGGCGCTGAGGGCAGCAGCTTGACTTTTTTGACATCTGAGCAATAGTTCTGTTATTTCACTTTTGCGATGAGCTCTCTCTGAGCTTGTTTGTTGTTGAAATGCTACTTTTAAAAATTTAGATGTTGGGTTGAAACCTGTACTTATCAGCATATGCTTTACTAGAACACTGTGATAGATGAGCTGTAGAATTCTTTCTGTAGGATTAGGGGAATAATGGGCTTCATAACCTTCCCTAGGCACGGATACTTTCCCCAAATCTGATGGACCCAGAGTCAGAGAAGTTTCACTCTTGTACCTGCTGGGCTTCAAAGTTAGGCAGTTAGTCACATTTTTTTCTCTCTACTCTCTCTATTTTGAAAGTGTAAAATAAAACCAAAAGTAGACAACTTTAAGCCATTCCAGTGTAGAGAACAAAACCTTATGAAAACAGGAATGTCAGTTGTGCAATCATTGTTCTAATTAGGTAAATAGAAGTCCTTATATATGTATTACAAGAATTTGCCACATAGCCTCCCTTATGACTTAAGTTCAATAACAGTTTGCACTTGGTGGTAAAGGATATTTCTCCATGGCTTAAATTAAGACGATTATAAAGCACTACGCTGTGGGAGCAGTAACCATCTGATGAGTGTTCTCCTGCGTCCGGGTCCAGGGATGTGGGGTGACATGGGGTGACGTGCCTCATCTGTGTTAGAGGGTGGGATGGATGTGTTTGGTGCTGCATGGGATCTGGTGCTCCTCTCCTGCATTCACATCCCTACCCAGGGCCCGCTTTTACTAAGCATTCTGCCCTAGCCTGGTTGAAGGAGTTTATCCAACTGACTTTATCAAGTGGAATTGGGATATATTTGATATACATTTGCCTGAAAACATGGAAAAGGGTTTTCTTCCTCCTTTCTCTGCAAGGTACATTCTACTGCTTGGAACTTCCAAGTACACCTAGTCACCTTTTAAAATGTAAAAGTTTTCAGAAAAATGAAGGTTGCTTTCCTTGAATGCACTTATTATCTTGACTACCTGAATTGCAAGGGATTTTTGTGTATTCATATGTTCCAAAGTCAGCAACTCTCCTGTTGGTTTATTATTGAAATTGCTATAAATGAAGTCTTTTGCAATTAAAAAGAAAAAAAAGAGAAAGTATTGTCTTAGTCTTATTTCATAGACTCGTTTCCTGAATGTATGCCCAGAAAAACTTTTCTAGAACAAAAGGGTTAAGAAAGGAAGGGAAGAAGTTGAGAGAGAATACATGATAATGTAATTAATTAGTAGATGTTTTTCTGCTTTTAATGTAGACATTTTATTCTAAGGTTATGGTCAGAGAACACATTACTGGATGGGAAATTCCAGGCCTGGGGACAGTGCACTCATCAGCCTTGCTGGTGTCCTTTCACTTTGCTCATTCTTGATACATGGAATTATAGAAAGTACATAGCATTTTAGTCTTGGAAATCCATAGTTGTTCCCTTGAATTAGAAGGAATAGAATGTGTGTCTATCTGCATCTCCCTCTTGTTTCTGCTAGGGGATTCCTGTCGAAACGTCATTATGTGGCTGGATCATCGAGCAGTCAGTCAGGTCAATAGGATCAATGAGACCAAGCACAGCGTTCTCCAGTACGTCGGCGGGGTGATGTCTGTGGAAATGCAGGCCCCGAAGCTTCTGTGGCTGAAAGAGGTGAGTGTATAGAGTCTAAGAAGAAACACCAACAATAGGAGAGGATCCCTTTTATTGTGGATCTGTGTGTACCAGGCACCCTGCTGAAATTGATTCCCTTTGATTTTTCTCAGCAACTCAGAGGAAGGTTGATCCCATTTTATTGATTCCAGTGCGGTTAAATCATACCTGTTTTTGTGTGCCTAATTCATACCAGGCATTGTGACAAGTATTGTACACACTATCTCTTTCAACGTCAACAACCCAATGAAGTGTTTTTGTGTGTGGTGCTTTTTTTTTTAGGGTGTCTGTTTTATGGACAAGAAACCTAATGTTCATAGAGATAAAACAACTCACTCAAAGTGTCAAATATGTGACCGAACCGGAATTTGAACCTAAGACTGGCTGACTCCAAAATTGTTTTTAAAATTTTAAAGTTTTTCTATTGTAGAGACTTGGTCTTACTATGTAGGTGAGGCTGATTACTAATTCCTGGCCTCATGCAATCCTGCAAAAGTGATGGGATTATAGGTGTGAACCACTGTTCCCAGCCATCCAAAATCAATTCTTTTAATATCCAGTTTTCTACTGAAGTTCAGAGAGGTTAATTGCCATTCCAGTGAGAAAGCAGCAGAAGTGGGAAATAAGTCCATGCCTTCTGACCAGGCCCTTCCTATTCTGTATACTGTTAGCCCCAATTTATTAATATTTGGCCTTGTGGACATCTTATGGTACCTCTTTCTCATCCCCCCTTCCTTGAGTTTCTCATCCTTGAATGATGTGGCAATCTCTGGTCAAAGCACTTGCAGGTGGTTTCCATTTCCAGATGTTAGGACTCCTTTATGAAGTGTGGAGAATGGTGGTGTCAGCTTAATAGTTCCCATTAGAGGTGGATGTGTGAGAAAGTTCAAGTGCTTTAGGAAACCTCAAGGACTTGAAAACTTCTAGGTGGTCTGAAGAAATAGAGAATCCATCTAATGAGCATGATCTGCTGTGATTCATTTACTGGCTCTGAGATTTCAGGTGGGCTGAGTCTTCCATTACTCAGATTGTGACTGGAGATGGGGAAAGCTTAGGGTGCTTAGAAGATGCCCAAGGATTGCCATCACGGGGCAGAAGAGTGGTAGGAAAGAAGGGCTTCAGCAATCAAAGCAGGCTTGGCTTGTTATCTGCTTTATATATTACAAAACATGTATATTATATGTTTTGTAAGTTTTATTCTACAGAAAGGCATCTGTGGTTGCTAAGAGTTTGAAAACAGAGTTTCTTAGGAGTTTTCAAGAATCTAATTCTGACTCTACTGTCAACAATTGTATGCTTTGGTCAAAGCACTTCTCATCTCAGGCCTCACTTTTTTCATCTATAAAATGGGTGAGTTGGCTTAACCAGTGTGAAAACCTGACTCAGATATACTGAAACACAAAATCGGAATATAGAACTGTTCTGCACTGCCCCCACACCCTGCTTTAAATTGTATAGGCATTAGTTGATTTTAATCCTAACAGTCTCTGCCTGGTAGACAGCACGGGAAACTGATCCTGAGGAGGCTTTTCCAAACAGGTAATAGAGCCAGAATTTAATTCCATGTCTACTAGGCTCCAAATCTCAGCTTATTCCATAATGTCATACAGTACTAAAATCCCTCTGTGAAGCATGGCTCTTGGGGGTAGGACCAGGAATGATGGCAGTGGTCTTCTTCAGTTTGGCTTAAACTTGTTGCAAGAGAGAAGAAACAGGTTAGATATATCACCTTTTTTGGCAGCACAAAAAGAAGAGTTACACTGAGTTAAACAAAGAGGATTGGGCCGAAAGTCTTTAGTTCAGTGTCAAGGCCTTCTAGAGCACTTGCCACCTGGCCATCTACAGCCTATATTCTAGGAGATCTAAATGCTTATCTGGCACGAACCTCTTAGGATTCTTACTGTCTCACACGAGATCAAACTGCACTAAATAAATCCCATAGGAAATAGTTAAGGTCCAAATTACATGCCAGTGTTTGTGACCTTCTGAAAGCATCTTCTATTAATTTGTTTTAAAAAAATCAATTTTCTTTCAGAATTTTCTGAGTAAGCCTCTAGTGTGGGTGTGTTTTGGTAAGCATGTACAGGAATTCTTGCTGAGAATTCATTTGGTTTTAACATGATTGCAAAATCAAAATTAAAGAGATTTCTAAAGTCAGTTTTAGCACCTTCTTGAATCCTGACCAAAAGGCTATAGTGCTTCTCAGACTTTAATGTGTAAATGAATCACCTGGAGATCTTGCTGAGCTATAGGTTCTGATTCAGTAGCCCTAGGATAGGGACTGAGAATTGAGAATTTGCATTTCTAACATAAGTTCCCAGGTGATGCTAATGTTGCTGGCCTGGGGACTTTTGAAACCACTTATACTTCCAAAAGCTCTGTTCACCTACTCTGAAAAGCATCCCCTTGTAGGGAGTCAGGAAATGGTACCTTTGTTTTTAAATCTATGATGGGAGACACAGGGAAGTTTGAGAGCTTTAGTAGAGCTGCTCAGGTGCACATTTGAAGTAAAAGCATGAGGTTCTGTGTTCTAAATTCATTGCGCTTTCATGTGTTTACTCTTTATTCATTCTTTAATTTTTGAAATTTGTGTTGAGCTCAACTATGAACCAGCAACTGCGATAGGCACTGGGGACATGGGCTGCACAGAGTCCACTTGGGGTGGTGGTCGGGGAGCATAAGGAATGGGGTGGGTAGAGGGAGGAGTGACATGAAAACAGAACCATCAGATGTACTATGCATTGTGATATAGCAGTATACAAAGTGCTTTGGGAAAAAGGATTTGCTTCCTGAAGGCAAATAGTTTGAAAGAGCCTCAAGATAAGAATGGAGGCTTTGACTAGTAGGCAAGATAGGAAAGAGATTCTGAAGAGAGACTTTGGTTCATCTGTGGTATGGTAGATGAGTCCCAGGGCATGAGCTGTGGTGCTTCAGTAAGCATAGCAGGAGATGAGGCCAGGTACATAGTCTGAGTTCAGCTTATTAAGGGCTTATTTGGTGATGGGGATTGGTTGATGGTTGTTAAGCAAGGGAGGGGCCAGCTTAGGTAACTGGCAAACATGTAAAGATTGGAGAGAATATGTGTGTGGGAGTAAGAACTAGAGTTTTCTCATTCCCCTGATGATAGCACTCTGATTGCTTTGCATTGCTCTATTAGATACATTCAAAAAACTGAAACATGAACTAGAAAATGGTGCATGATGTCATCCCCCCCCCCCCACTGTTTGTCTTTTACCTCCTATCTCACTGTATCCCATCCACAGGGATCCACTCAGAGTTCTTTACACATACACAGTTCTTTGCTACCTGAGTCTTGGCTAGAGGTTGGCAGACTATGGCACCCAGGCCAAATGTGGCCTACTGCCTGTTATACCTGTTATTGGATGGCTTGAGAAAAGGTAAACGGTGTTGCATTTTCAAGTGATTAAGAAAGAATCGAAAGGATGATATTTTGTGACTTATGAAGGTAATATGAAATTACAGTTTTAGTGGCCATAAGTAAAGTTTTATTGGAACACAGCCACACTCATCCATTTATGTGTTGTTTATGTCTGTTTTCACACTACAATGACAGAGTTGAATAGTTGAGACAGAGACTATATGGCCTGCAAGTCAGAATATGTGTGTACTGTCTGGACCAACAGATGAAAAGTTTGCTGATCTCTGGTCTTGACAATGTTGAGTTTTCCACCCACAGTGTTCTTCCCTCTACTCACCACTGATTCTTCATTATCATTGAGGTCTCAGCTTTATTTTTGCATTCTTAAAAAGCCTTTACTGACCCTCAAATAAATCAGAGTCTCTTGTTATTATACTCTTAATTTACTTCATTGTATTTTTCATAAATTGTAATGCAACATCAATTTGTGTGGTGATTTATATAATGTTTGCTCCAACCATTGTAATCTACAGGAAAATAGAGACCATATTCACCTTGTTCTTTGATATGTCTCTGTCCCTAATCAAATGTCTGGTGCATAGTAGGTGCTCAGTACATATATTCTGAATAATTTGAATGACTCAGTAACTCAATAAGGGGCTGTTGCAGTACTCCAGGGATAACTAACGAGACCTTAATTAGGCACTGTGGGATGGAAGGAGATGGGTTCTAGAAATCTCTAGAGAATAATATCAATAGGACATTGAGACTGATTGGTTGTGAGGAGTGAGTCAGAGCTGACCACTCACTTTATTATTGCTGTCATTTATTTTATCCTTGTCCTTAGCCTAGAGTCAGATGTCAGAAGGGGTTGGGCAATATTTGGGGTTTTATCTATCTTGAGATGTACTAGGACCACGATAGCTCTTGGGCAAAGTCACCTGGGTCCTAGTCCTGGAAATACGGAATTTAATCATGTCCTTTTCATTTAAAGTTTATGTGTTTTAGGTTGACGTTTGTCTCCTTAATCAGAGTTGTCAGATAAAAGGAAAAATGCCATTTGAATTTTTCATAACCCCCAGCAGTCTGGCTTTTCCATTTGGTCTCAATGATTCTGACTCTCATCTTAATGAAGGCCAAATGTAAATTAAGTTCTGTCAGGCTTGAGCAGCCGGGGTCTCCTATCTTTATAAACATGAAACATTGTAGGGTAACAAGGTGCAGACTGAGGAAGGTTGAGAGAGTTGGAGAGCTGATGTGGATCCTGACAGCTCAGTGTTACTGGGAGATAATTAGCATGGCTTGTAGGGGCTACATGGAGATCTTCCAAGTGTCTTTTAACTCATTTCCTCTTTTGTTGTTGTCAGCAGTGCAGAAAGCTAATCATTTTATAGTTTGAGATTTTCGTTGCTTATTCCAAAGTTCTGGAACCAGCTGTCTGGAATGTCACAGGATTTTGTTGATGGGTTCAGTTGATGGGTTCAAGAAATATACTTGCTGCTCCTCTCTTCCCTGTCTGTGCCCCCATGCTTCTGTTCTCCTGATAGCATACTGGGAAAATGAGGAAATGATTCTCTAGTTGAGATTCTTTGGGGAAACCTAGAGGTTTGTATGGCTAGAG